AAAGTCCTAATAAATTAAAAGTAATTATTTTTGAGTATTAGATAGGTAAACTTTTAAAATAATTTAGTTAAAACTGGTTAAACTACTTAACCAAGCAAATTTAATCGTTCAGGTGATTCTGAATACAAACTGGAGCCGTATATTTTTAATTTATTAAATGTATACCTACAGCACTGAATTTTAAATGTGAATAAGTACAATATAGTATTAAGCATTTTAATTATTCATAAATATGAAGTTTCATATTAATTTCTTACAAAACATTATTTAATTGTTATATGGAAAACTAAGTTTTATTAAACATTGTTATTTAAGGTTTTTTTAAATATATTTTACATTTAACCTCCCCTCAATTTTGTAATCCCACCCTCTCTTACTAGCAAATTAAAATCCTAGCCTAAAATCCTAACCTTAAGTGCCTCCAATGGGCGGCTTCTTATCTCTAGCCACTCAAGCCATGTCACCTCCATCACATGCACTTATTGTAAAACAACATTTACAGATTGTGTATATTTAAATAAACGATAAAAAAAAAAAAAATATATTTTACATTTAATTATAGGAAAATACTCTGTTATATTTGTAATAACTTAATCACAATTAAAAATTACGCAATATTTGTCAACTCTAATTTTCATTTTAACCTAAATAATAATTATTAGAAGATATCCAACATTATTTTTTCAACTACTTATGATTATAGTTAAAATGTCAATAATATTTAATTATAATTTTATAAATGTTTTTTAGACTTTTATACATTGGAACTAAAAATTAGAAATACATTCTCAATGATAAAATTGAATATTTAAAAAAATGTTAATAATTGTTATTAACTATACAACTAGTTCTGAACTGTTCATTCAATTTTATTAAACAGTATTTAATGATATTGTTGATGGCACCTATAGATTTAGACTACCAATTAGTAATTATAAAGTATTTTATTTATTTAAAATTAAACAGGGCAATTTGTTATTACTGCACATAATCCAATTATATTATATTTTCTTTTATGACCTATTCTCATATGAATATAAATATATTTAATTTTAAAAATATGTTTGAAATTATAGTATTATGGAATACTAAAATGTATTGTATACAATAGCTTATTAAATTTAGGAAAACTAGTTCAATAAGGTTTTGACATTTAATATTTATTAATATTGTTGATACAAGGCAATAAAAAAAGTTGATACACTACAAGGCCATTAGTTATATGAATAGTTTTAAATAATTTAGAAAACTGTTTGAACTTAGGTTAGGTACAGTTTTTATGTATAAATTATATTTGTTAACTAGTTTTAATTTTGTTGTACATAATATTTTGGTTTATTTTTTGAAAAATGTATAATTTGTTTGCCGAGTAATGGATTTGGTTTTAGTGCTGCTTTCAATTTGTGTGATAAAATACAAATTAAAAGTAGTAAAAATATTGATTTAATTTAATTTTTATAGATCTTAACTGAAGGAGATGGTGGTAATCCTTGGATGACAGATCCATTTCATCCTCATTATTTAGCAGCCCATAAAGCTACCCAGTCTGTATATAATATTGAACCAGATTACACTAGGGGTGGAGGATCAATTCCTGTCACATTGACTTTACAGGTATGAAACTCAAAATTATTCTATAGTTGATTAATTGTATATTATATATATTTTATGATTAAACTAATTTCTATTTTAGTATATTATTAAATTATATATTTTATATTACTAAATTCATATAACACTGTTTGGAAAGCATATTCTAAATTTCATTTAATGTATTCATTGTTCATGTTATTAAATTAGTTTTAATAATTTGCAGGAAGTGACTGGTAAAAATGTTCTACTTTTGCCAATGGGGTCTGGAGACGATGGAGCTCATTCTCAAAATGAGAAAATTGAATTGCGAAACTACATTGAGGGAGTAAGTACTGATATTTATCACCTCATTAGCACAGATAATATAAAACAGATGCTGTTGGTGTTATATAATCTGTGTCATAAGTTTTAACTTTATCATACATTAAAAAAATGGATATTCATTATTTAGATTTTATATATTTGATATTTGCTGTGAAAAAAATATTTGTTATCCAGAATATATTAGTTGTTTTTCTCTAATAGAAAACAAATTTGTATATTATATTTACTATTTATTTCTTAGAAGATTGAAAATTGATAGATTTTAAAGAGTTAAAAATGAGGAATTTTCAAATTGCATGCATTTATTATAGTATATTATGTGACTGATGACTGTAATGTAAAAGAAATAGAGCAACGCTCTTGCAAGGGTGAAATAATTCACAACCTCGGCATTGTACTCGTGAATGGTTAATAGTATATACTATAAACTATATTTAGTTGTTTGTATATACTTTTTGTTATTCTTACTGATAGACCTGATTATGCAATAAGACTTTTGAAAACTGAAATTGAATTTGTTATTTTATCTACTTGAGACTGATCGGGCCACATTTTAAGATATTTAATTTAAATTTCAAATAATCAACACTTTATACATTTAAAATATTCAAACAAAGTTGATAGAAGTTGAGGAACAAACATTTAATAAGGTGGCCTAATCTATCTCAGTAGACATAACAAATGACTTTTCAAAAATATATGCACATTACTAGGTCCATTGGTATGATTGATAAAATATTTGGTACATTTTAGTTGAAATAACTGACCGTTGACAACCCTTAGTGTTAGATAATATAATATTTCAATATCCAAACATTATATTTTCATATATTATTATTCTTTGTTTTGATTTATCAGTCTATACCTAAATTAATAATAGTTTAGATGAGAAACAATTAAATATTATAATTAAATTATTTTAAGCAATTTCTAAGCTAATCTGTACTATTAAGTTTTGGCCCATTATTCATTAGAATAAATTATTATTATTTTTTTTTTTCAGACTAAATTGATGGCTGCTTATCTTTATGAAGTATCCCAAATTCATAAAGCAAACTAATAATTTGGAACTATAAATATACCTAATTGAAAATATCAAATTTATTATATTATTTTTATTATTGAAATTTATTTTAATGTATACATTTATAATATTGATATACTTTAAGCACTAGAAATATTCTTGTGCGTACAATAATGGTTTCACAAAATTCATATTATCAATAGTTTTCATGACAATTTTTCAATTTTTTTATATCAAAATGATTGTTCTGTGATACTCATTTTTTATAAAAACTATTTTTATTTGTACAACAAACTTAAAATTATAAACAGAAATAAATAAAAAAAATTTGTTTTTGAACCAACCTGCCTATTTGATTTATAAATGACAGTATATTTGTTTATAATTTATAAATTTTATGATATAGTAATACAATACCAATAAATAACAACTTGTTCTATACAATATTATGAAAATATTTGACACTATTGTCTATTATACATAACTCCACAACAAGTTCATAGAAATAAGAAGAAAAAATAGTTTTATGGTACATCCATGATTAATGACTTAGGTATAGCTTTTTAGATTTGTCATGAGTAATCGCTAATGAGGGGAGAATTCAGAAACTTTCATCCTCCTAAGATTGGTACTTATTTCATGAACAAATGTTTTAATTATGATATTTTTAAAACTCAATTACATATTAAAATTAAGACTTCATGTTTACATTACCGGGGATGGGCTAATAATGGTAGGTACATAGAAATATGGAATGGATGAAAAATCATTGATTCTGTGGTAGATATATTAATTGTTTGGTCATATTGTTAATATGATCCGAGTTGAATATTTTAGATTTCAATGGGGAAGAGTTCTTATTATATCCCAAAAAATTATAGTAACTGCATAATTCTTTAATAATTATTGCTCAACTTTTGCACTCATTTATTAATAAACAACAACACTGCTATTACAGAACAAGTATGAGTTAAAAATTGAACTTAAGCCTTAAGTTGGATGTCACCAAATCATTGACAAATATAAGAGCATACATTGTATGAAAAAATCTTTTTGAGGGTTGGTACAATTCTTAAGTTCACAACAGTTACAAATTATAATACTTAAAAATTGGGAAAGTGGTATCCGTTCTGATGTATGGGTGGGAACATTGTATTAGGTTTTAAAACAAAAAAATTGTCATCAACATTTATAGAAAAAAAAAATTTTAATTATATAAATAGCATTAAAAATTTAACCCATAGATATTATTCATGTACAAGAAATAGTAATATAAGCATTTGGTGAAAATTAAGCTATCTACGATTATTTGTTTTTCAGTTACATCAAAAAAACAAAATCGACATTGTCAAAAATAGATTTACGTGAAAATTCCAACATTCGGATCATTTTAAGAAGTACTGAGAATTATTAATTTGTTTACATCATAAAAGTATAAACTAAAGAAACCAGACTCCAAGTTGAAAATCAAATCATTTTTTTTCTACTACTTTTCGTGTACACGGACACAATAGAAAAATTAAAATGAAAAATATCATTGTAAAATCAATAAATTAATCGGTCCGCTCAGAATTTATTATTAAAAACTGTAGCACGCTACTCGAAGTTTTTCCTCTACAGGGAAAATCTGTGATTCATAAATGTGTTTTTGTTATTAAGTAATCATGACGACAAAAACCTTACAAAAAATCGGTCAGAACCAAAAAATTTTGTATTTAGGCCCAAAACATATTTTTGTCAAAGAGTGAATAATGAGATATAATATTATTACATTACTATTATACATTATTATGATGTCAGAAAATAAAAATTTGACTTAAACAATTTTGGCGTTGGCTGGTACAGATTTCCCGATTTTCAAACAGCAAAACATCATCAAAAAAATTAAATTTTCAATAAACAATATTGAATACATATGTCTTTGGTAAACATTCACCTCTTAGATAAGAGAATTTCGGCCATAAATTTTGGTGCTGGATGACAATCCCCTAAACTGGTCACACTGATTTCACTGTGACTCGGCAATAAGTTCCTTTGGATTGACTCGGCAACAAGGGAAATGATAATCAAAAATTGAGAATCATTGTTGATATTTTATATTATTTCAATGTTCCATCATTTTCAAACGAGTGATATTAAGTATTAGTAGAAAAGCTAGAAACCGTGAAGTGAAAAGTTTGAAAATAGTTTAATAGTTACTGTTTTAATATTACGTTCTTACTTTTACTATCTTGAAGACAACACGTTGTAGGTACACTTCAGTGTTCCATAGAAATGGTAAGTTTAAAAAAGTCATTGAAATATTTTTCGTTATTTATATATTAGTACATAATTGATTGATCACCGTTCATATTATATTATGTTAAAACAAAACCATTGTGTTGTTTAGGGTCAAAGTCATTCAGGCGGTGGTGGTGCTGGTGGTGAAAAGAAAGACGACAAGGACAAAAAGAAAAAGTATGAACCACCAATCCCAACAAGAGTGGGAAAGAAAAGGAAGCGTGCAAAGGGTCCAGACACAGCTACAAAACTTCCCCTAAGTATGTATTATGCAGGATTTAAAAACTAATTTATTTTAAATTAACGTTGTTCAAACTTGTAGTTACTCCACACACAAGATGTCGTTTGAAGTTGTTAAAATTGGAGCGTGTCAAAGATTATTTAATGATGGAAGAAGAGTTCATACTGAATCAAGAACGGCTTAAGCCCCAAGAAGAAAGGAATGAAGTAAATATTTTTAAGAATACCATTTTTATTCATTATAAAAGTTAATTATGATAAATTATTTTAGCTATAGGTAGTTTCTGAAATATTATTTATATAATACTAACATATTGGCCACCCGTCCCGTATTTCACAGGACAATCCTGTTTAGTGTAGGTCCATGGTACGTCATATTATAATTGATAAGACATATTTTGCATTTAACAAATATATTTACAACATAGCAGTTGTTGAAAATAAAAGTACTATGTTAGAATTATAATTACTTGTATAGTACTACAATTTTCCTAATGCAACTTGTATGTAATTAACAGGAAGAACGTTCAAGAGTAGATGATCTACGTGGAAGTCCAATGTCTGTTGGTACATTGGAAGAGATTATTGATGATAATCATGCAATAGTGTCAACATCTGTTGGAAGTGAACATTATGTTAGCATTTTGTCATTTGTCGACAAAGATCAGTTGGAACCCGGATGCTCAGTACTACTTAACCACAAAGTAAATAAATTAAAATTATCAAGGAATTTAATAATTTGATGTATTTTTATTTGTAGGTTCATGCAGTGGTTGGAGTACTATCAGATGATACAGATCCTATGGTGACTGTGATGAAATTAGAAAAGGCACCCCAAGAAACTTATGGGGATATTGGTGGTTTAGATCAACAGATCCAAGAAATTAAAGAATCTGTAGAACTTCCTTTAACTCATCCTGAATATTATGAAGAAATGGGTATTAAACCACCTAAGGGAGTTATTCTGTATGGACCTCCGGGAACGGGTAAAACCCTTTTGGCTAAAGCTGTTGCCAACCAGACCTCTGCAACATTTTTACGGGTTGTGGGATCTGAACTTATCCAGAAGTATTTGGTAAGTTGTACATTAGTTTACTTTTATAGTCTCATAGCAATGTATATTTAAACTAAATTATTTTAATTTATAATAAACTTAGGGAGATGGTCCCAAATTGGTAAGAGAACTGTTCCGTGTAGCTGAAGAACATGCACCATCTATAGTATTTATTGATGAAATAGATGCTGTCGGTACTAAACGTTATGACTCAAATTCTGGAGGTGAACGTGAAATTCAGCGTACTATGTTGGAACTTCTTAATCAATTGGATGGGTTTGATTCTAGAGGCGATGTTAAGGTAAATACTAACTGTGTTTTTTACTTGTTTAAAATTTATAGAATGTTTGTGAATTTATATTCCTTTCTACAGGTGGTTATGGCCACAAATCGTATTGAAACTTTGGATCCAGCATTGATTCGTCCAGGTCGTATTGATCGTAAAATTGAGTTCCCCTTACCTGATGAAAAAACAAAACGTCGTATATTTAATATACACACATCCAGAATGACATTGGCTGAAGGTGTTAATCTTCAAGAGCTGATTATGGCCAAGGATGATCTTTCCGGTGCTGATATCAAAGTAAACACCTTTAAATATTTATAATCTTAATTATTTACGTGAGCACTATAAACACTTTTCTAAACGTGTTGTAAGGCAGTGCCATACAAATACATAGTTGTATTCATGGGTATTGAAAACATAAGAAATCATTTGTTTCGTTTAGTTCAATCATTACCAATAGGTGTGTGCTTGGCAGAGTGCAGATTGATTGTTGATATAGACATGAATATAGACCATGTTGTGCAAATGTTGTTTGCCATGTCATAATATAATTTTATAACTAAATATAACTGTTGGATAACAGTACTGATATATTTATCCAATAATATATAATTATTTCAGATTTTAATAAGAAGTACTAACATATGTGGTCTTACTAATGCATAATATATCAAAATCTACGTTCAGGACCACATCGAACTGTAACAGCGGGAAATTTTATATTGTTAGCTTAAATATATGGGTGAACTGACCTATTATCAAATTTAAATTTTAGAACATTGTCTGATGTTCTCTTGTTGATTTTTTACAATATTTTTGAATCATTAGCATCTTTAAATATTAATGTTTTACATACTCATAACTTACCAAGAGTAATAAAATATTCTTAAAACTAGAGAATGTTCTTACATCTAAGTTAAATAATAGGACAATTCACTCTAATATTTAATCTAACAACACAAAATTAAAATTGCTGGGCTTACAGATTGATATAGTATGCATTAGTAAGACGGAGATTACCTGCATGTGTTGTCAACATACTCTTAACACATATTAGGATATAAACAAAATAATTGTACTTATCACTTGTTAATTTAATGAAAAATAATTAACAAGTTATTGGTTTTAGCACTGTACAATGAATAAATTGATTTTAAGAGAAATTTTTTCAATTCATATTATTTATGTTTTATTTAGCAATGAGTATAAAAATATTTTTAATGTTGTATATATAAACATAATAATATAAGAATAATTAGTTTTAATATATTATTTATAAAAAGTTTTTAATAAATTAAACTTGAATTTTAGGCTATTTGTACCGAAGCTGGTTTGATGGCTCTTCGTGAACGCCGTATGAAAGTAACCAATGAAGATTTCAAAAAGTCCAAAGAGAGTGTCTTATACCGCAAGAAAGAAGGCACACCTGAAGGATTATATCTGTAATACTACTAATATTGAATGATTATATTTGTTATACTGAAAATATCTAGGATTATATTTGTAATACTGAAAATATTTTGTATTTTATGTCTATGAAATTCCTTAAATCAAACATAACTTCACTGCTTAACTATATTTATACATTTTTCAGTGTTTTAAAACATTTTTTCAAATTAATAAATGCCAAATTATAACCATATATTCATTTTTATGTTATAATACCATCATAGATTCACATTCCAACATAACATTTTATCATCCATACTTGGAGTTGATTACAATCAATTTTAATAGTTAGGTATCTACTAATATAAAATGTGTATTAAATTACATTGTATTTAAATTATAGAAATCACTTTTCACTACACTTCTTGTAAACTTAAAACAAGTTGTGTGATACTCTAATGTAATAAAAAAAAGTTTTAAAAATATGCTTCTATTTTAATATTTAAAATGTTTGTAAAACAAGTATTTGTATGCAATATTTATGTTGTAAAACCAATGCCAGGTTATGTTGGGGGGTTATATGGTTTTAGTATATATAAATTATGTAATTATTACGTTTTAACATCAAATCAAAAACAGATTGTTTCATATTTTTTGAATTATTGTGTTGTTTAAGTATCAGTTACAACTTAACTGTTATTCAGGAAATTGTGTTCGTGTTTCAAGGCTCCACATAAACACTGAAATTGATGGACATGTTTAAATAATAACAATAATAATCAAATAAGATTGTTTATAAGTTATAAGTTATAACCTTAATTGGCAATTGGCTCAATTAATATTTTGTGTTGAGGTGAAAAATATTTATAAGCGGCGGAGTTTATTCAAGTTAAAAATGTAGTATTCAATTGATTTGAGACAATAATAAATGTTTTATAATTTAATCATAAATATAAATTATGTTATAATCTCTGGAAATTATTTTTTTTGAAGTTTTACATAATTTATATTTATGTTATTCTTTTAGCTATTAATTTTAACATATTAACCATGGTGTTCTGCTTAAAATTAATTTTATTATTATAGGTACATAAAAAAACTATACACTCGTTGCATCAAGTTATTATTGCTGTAATAAACATTTTTAAGAACAGAGATAGGAAGAATACAATTTTCATTTATTCAATTTACTGATCTTAGTTTGTTACATAGTTGTAACCAACGCAGTTCTTTAATGTTAATAAAATAATAAGTAATAACTAATTGACAATCAGACAATACCTTTGTAATTATATTGTGTAACTTAAATCGATTGACTTAAATTCTTGGTACAACTTGCAAATGCCAAATTGTATGAGATAAAAACATTGTATTATGTCTAGTAAATAGCGTCAACTGGTTTTTTGTTTTAACTTGCTATATGGGAGGACCACGTTGAACATATTTTACTTATTTTTTTACACTCTAAAAATTAAACCCATTTAGTTTTGCTAGTAGCCAGATAAAATTTGACGAAAATAAAATAGTGAAGAAACATGCCTAATATGGGCCCCCACACGGTGAATTGTCTTTCATCAGTGGTTCCATAACTCAACATAATTTCTATTAGAACACTGTTGATCCTTGTGGTGGGAACATGTACAAATATGGACCACTATTGTACATTTTCCACCGCCACATGTGAGTTGTAGTAGTCGGTACCATTACTTAATTCCACTCTTCCCCCGTCCAAAATTTTTTTTGTTTGTAACTTATAATTTATGCATACACAGCAACGTCGTGGAAAAATATTTGATTTATTAATTACAAGTTTAGGCTATCAAAGGCACCCAATTAATAACGTGACGCATTAGTACGTTAAATATTCTTTGAGCGATTGAGACGACAGAATGGACCAACGGTCGGAAATCCACTGACTCGACTACTCGAGCGGATTAGGGACGATCTGTACCGACTAGGCGCTACGGGGAAGTACTCGAGCCGACGCCGTCCGTCAAGCCTTGGACGTGTTGAGGACCACATCACGTCGTCAGGGGTAGAGAGGGAAGAGAGAGTGTGTTCAAGCGATATGAGCCCGTTAGGGCCTTCAAAAATTGCCTACGCGGACAGTGTTTCATGTCCACATGGCGGGGTATTGGTTAAAGTTTTCAACTAGCAATAATCGCACCTCGGATGGACCTCATTGGTTACGATATCGCCACTGCGCAAAGCTGATGATGCCGTCGGTTCGAGACCTTATTATGCCGTGCCAGAGCCGCCACTGACGTGCAGATGTCTGGCGGGCGTCGTCCGCAGTCGCCTCCTAGCCCGTCGTTCAGTCGTCGTTCGGACAACGCGCGCGGCCGTCCGCGACTTCTGGGTGGCCGGCCGATTGCGCGGTGGCCGGCGAAAGCCAGACGCCGGCGTCTGTCCACCGAATTTCCGGACGCCGTTCGACGGTTGGAAAGTGGTCGTGCGTTCAGCGCGCTCTACCGGCCGAAAATAGTACCGCCGTGGCGAGCGTTTCAGGCGGGCGCCGGCGGCCCGATAGCCGATGTTTTGGGTGAGCGCCGCGACGCGTCGGCTTCAAACGATCCAGAACGGTGGTCAGACGACCAGAACTTTCGCCGGACCAACCAGGTCCTGAGACAGAACCATTGATTGACTCAAAATTAAAAAATTTAAGACGTCGCGGACAGGACCGAGAACAACGCAGTGGCCGCCGCGTCGGACCGAGTGCGCGCGGTCTGTCCGCTAGATGGAGCCACTCTATGCGGCGACAACAACAACAACAGCTGAGGCGGCGATCGAATTTTCAAATAGGTAATATTCATAGATATTTAACAAGGAAAATCTATGAATCATAAATATGTTTTTGTTAATATTATATAAGGTGTAAGCATGGCAACGAAAACCTTACGAAAAATCGGTCAAAAAAATAAAACCTTGTATCCAGCCCAAAAACAAATTTATGTTAATAAAATATAATATTTTTGAGTTTTTTACCATACGTTCTGCTTCATACAGGATTGTCCTTTATGTTAGCTGTTTCTGACAAACTTCTTTCAGGATGGTTTTGCTCTGTTATTTTTATGTGTATTATAATTGTTTCGTTGTTATTAATACGTATACATAATACATACATATACTTATTTACATATTTAATTTTCTTTTTGAATTTGTTGACAGAAATATTAAGTTATTGATGATGACTAGGATTTATAATGTGTAAATACATATTTTTGCTGTGAAAAATTAATTTAGGTGAGTGATAGATTCGTTTCAAGCGATCTCCAAAGTAATGAACTATATTTTATTTTACATATTTACACATATTTCTCAATAATTCCATTTTTTCCTTCCTACATATTTCGACAATTTGTTCGTACACGATTGATTAATAATTATATAATATGATTGTATTTTTCATTACAGACTGTAATTTCCCATGTTTCCAAAAGTACGTACTCAAAATAATACTAATTATTATATTATGTTCGACATTTATGACCTAGATAAACGATAGATAACGATTTATTAATACGTGTTTGCCTTTGAAGTACTGACAGCGAGCCAGTATACCCACATCGATGAACGGGACGTGTGATGTTTATTTAGACGTGTAATTTTGAATTTGGCGGGTTAGTGTTAAATTATGCCGAAAGTTCGAGTGTCCAAAGCCGGAAAATCTAAAAACTATGTTCTAGAATTTCCAATCTGTCAAGATTTTCATCATTGATGACAGTGATAACGATTGTATTCATGAAAAATAATCATCACAGACACAGCTATCAGTGAAAATATTATGTATGTTCCGGCAAACTTTATTATTATTATAATTTAAACCGTAGAGCTATGCAGTATCTATAATATCATGTAAGTGTTTTGCAACAATAAAAAATTAACAAAAAAAATACAATATCAATTTAAAAACATCATGGAAACGATCTTATTAGCCCTGTTTTAGGTATATTACACATTATAGTCCATAAGTAGAATATATTATAGATGATATTTAGACATTTTTGATTCGGTATTTATATAATAATAATACATATTATTTAGAAAATGTGCAGGCAGAACCGAAAGATTGATACTACTAGAGAATAACGGCTCTCGGAATTCGAACTATTTATATGAAATATTGATGTTAATATTACGTCATATTCCCACGAATCTTCGTAGCTAAAAATTTAAATAAATATTCTTTGCATGAGCAAGCTATGGTTTTTTTATTAGGTAACAGGTTCCTACCTGGCTACCTATGTCTTAATAAATTATGTATTATCTCGGAATTGAGGGCCATGTTTTTAAAATCATTTTATTCAGATGAAAATAAATAAATAATCAACTTATAATTTAGTTTTAATTATACATTCTATGAATTTACATAATATAAATTATAAGTAATGTCACATTTCAATTAAATTACCGATTAAATTTTTTTTGACACAGTTACATTTTTCTTATGATACCTACTTTGTTATTAATTTATATGGTAATCAATTTTTTCATGTTAGAAAACTCGTCCTAAAATGTAGCATCAAACAAACTCAGTCTATACTCTCATCTATAAATTTGATAATTAATCTGTATATTTGCAGTTCGAATATTATAACTATAAAGTATAAATCGTTGAACAAATAGTTTTACCATTATGTTCATCAGTTCTTCACAGTTTTTATTTTTATCCAACTAATATAACGTTTTTATCAACATTTTCAATTTGTGGTGAAAATTCGGCGTGTTTTTGAGTGAAGGCCAAACCCTTGGGCTCAACTTTTTTTACGGGCCTCGGAGGCCTGCACGTGGGACTCGGCACCCACTGACCATTGGGACAACACGTCATAATACCACGGTATATATTATATTATGTATATGATTTTTAACCATATGTTACTGATAGCACAAATTATAATATGCAATATTTCATCAACGGTGCAACTTGATAATAAGGGGCCCATGTGAAAATTTTCAGACTGGGTCCCTCACCTGTTGATAAAAACGAAGAACAGTCGTGCCTTATTAAAATTAAAAATTATAATTTTCCCATAATTCATAGTTAATAATTTCTAATTAGGTATAAATAACATATTTTTGTTTGTAAAATCAAACATTAAAATGAACTCTTCTTGTTTTTATGGTAGCATTCATTAATAATTTTCTTTATAACCTGTAGTTGAGCTGTCTTTTCTTTTGCAATATTCAATATTATACTAAGGTTGGAAAAGCGATCTTGCCAAATCGAGTTACACAGATAGTTCTTAATCAACT